TGCATCAATACCGCCGTGCATCAATACTGCAACAAAGCTGACTGCACCAAGGGTCCCCAACGCACCACAACATGTCAGTTGCCAGCAACGTTGACAGACGCCCATTGTGAATACGCTGTTTCAATACCAAGAACGCCAAGGCGCGCGCGGACCCAGCAACAACGCGGGTGGACGAGAACCGCGGACACAGGAGGTGGCGCCGCAACGAGGTAAACCGCACTGGCCCCGACCGACAGGCGTGCGAGGCCTGCATACTTGCTTTGATCGCGAAGACCGAGCCGAAGCCGGGTTCAGCTCGGGACGCTGGTGTTCCAGGCGTTCCCAAATGGATCCGCGACGTGCCCACGTTGGTCCTTCAGTGGGAACAGGCCAGCGACAGGGGTGGCGCTGCTCAGCCACTCACGATCGTTCTCCGGGAGCAGCACGGGACGCTGGCGCTCCAGGCATTCCGAAATGAATCCGTGACGTGTCACGTGGAATTCCGGCGTTAAGGGGGCAGGGGTAGCGCTGTTCGGCCACTCACGATCGTTTCCCGGGGGCAGCACGGGACGCTGGCGCTCCAGGCTTTCCGAAGTGGATCCGTGACGTGCCACGTGGGAATTCCGGTGTGAACGGGGCAGGGGCCGGAGTTGCGTTGTTGGACCACTCACGATCGTTGGCCGTCGATGCTGTCGGAGGTGACCTCCTGGTGGCCGGAAGGTTGCCATCTCTGTGAGTCTAAGTGGCCGATAAGCGTCACGTGTGTTGAAAGGGAGCTTTTCTTTTCTCTGTATGGGGCACCCTCTATGCAGCTGGTGCCTGTTGGTTGCCTCATTAACCCCAAGAGAGCCTTCACACAAACTGCCAGCATGCACACTATGCTCGGTCTGTTGTGCCTTCTAGGATGTACAGTTCTGCAAGCTTGACCTTGTTATTCTCTGCATGTCGTGATGCAGTGGCTTTAAATGTGGTGCCCAGGGCATTTTAAGACTTGAAGAAGGGCTGGTGTGTTGTTTCATTCAGTATAGAAAGTGGTGTATTCAGCCACATCACCAGCCTAGGAATAAGCTGGTGGGCCTAGTTGGTGGACGTTTTTTTGATGTTCAATTCAATTTGGGTGAACAATTGGCAGTTGCCAATACGAACAGTATAGCTGCGTGTGCTTTCAACCAAACGAGCACTTGGCCACTTTGGCATGTTGGCAAGTGGGTTGCACATTTGCAGTGTGCTTCAAATGTTCCCCAACAGTGACTCAGTGCTACAGATGACAAGGGAACAGCACATATCAATGAATGCAGAGCACAGATTTGGCAGTTTTCATGCTGCCGATGCGCTTGATTCTTCCTTGTATTCATCAGGCTTGTGGCAAGGTAAAGTTGTGCCTGTGGACAACATTGCCGCAGTGTACTGGCTGGACCCAGCCCACCACTCCGTTGCATCATCATCGCTGAATCGAAGGGTGGCTTGCTGGACCCTGTGGTCCCTCTCATGATGCAACGAGTCCAAGCAACATCGCTGGCGGGCTGCAGATGGAAGTCAGTTCAGGTGATGGTGGCTATGTTCAGGTGTGTGAATGTGACGCTCAGGACGGCCAGGCAACTGCAGCAACATGAAGACAACTCAGGGAAGGCACTGCGAGATATGATCATTCCACAGCTGGAGGTGTGGCACGCGAATCGGAGTATCGTGGTGTTGCTCAACATCATGTTGCTCATCATTCATGCTTTATAACAGCATTAGGACAACAATTTGTCCATCTACAGCCGATGTTGTTTGAACTGTGATGCAAACTCTTGCTGCGGGCGCGGGTTTGCTTTTATTGTATCCTACCTCTGGACTGCTCTGCATTTTGGTTGGCTGTCTGAATTATGTTTTGCACCATACAGCAGAGCTTCATGTTCCTACCACGCATTTGCCAGTGTAGCACAGCCTACGTGCTGATGAATATGCTCTGTGCTATGAAACGCATGGCCAACTGAGTACCAAATGGCTGGCATTGATGGACAGGGCTAAACGCATAGTTGCACAATTTCTTCCCTGCCTAAATGCTGCATCTGCAAATCAAGCACTTTTGTATCCCTTCTGCAGAATCCAATGATACAAAGCATGGGCATTTTGACCACATTCACAAGGTCAAAGGCTATGTTGTGTAGTTTTTAAAGATGTTTGCGAATTGAACTGCCATCGCTTGCATTGCTCTTACACCAATATATGTGTGAAATTGTGTTGTTCAGGGTGCCGTGCCGAATGCAATCCTATTTTGTGCCAGCAGCGCATTGATTGTCAAGTCTGCGGATGACGTTACCTTTTAGAAAGTGAGCTGATGCCATGACTGGAAAGTGGCTGCTGCTAAATAGTGGGTGCAGAAGTGCGCAAAATGTACTGTTCAGTCTGGCTGTCACACTCAAGGTGCAAAGCCAATGTTTTTTGTTTGCCCACAACGTACTCCAGCGAACAACACCTTTCACAATGAATAGCATGTTGTATGGTAGATGAAAGTGCCCTCAAACAATGGTGCTCGCTGCTGTTCTCTGTAGAAAGTCCTGAACTAGTGTCTGGTGATTGTTCAATGCACATATTTGGACAATGCAATATAGGACCTGTCTATACCCAGGATTACCAACATTTGGTAGATATGCTGATGCTAGAAGGTCCCCTAGATCCAACACCACTTGGACCATGAGGGTTTGGTGCTGCGATGCGATATTCTTCGACAAGGGTTTGTATCTTTGTGGTGGATATGCCATCATCGTTGACCAGCTCCACTTCCTCTGAGTCCACATTCAATGAGCAAAAGACGACTTCCCGTGCATTTGGTTCAGCTCGCTTGCTTTGGAAGTTATGGATACTGGGGTGTATGGGCTTGTGCTTGGGTTTTTACTTCAAGTTGTGTGTTCGCATAGGTTTCGTGGTTGTGGATACAAGTTTGATACAACAAAGGAACAGGGACACTTTGCGATTGGCTCCTTCAAGGTTTGTCATGCTATTCACCATTGTGCTTGTTGGCATGTGCTTTGTTTGTTGCAGTCCAGCAATTTTTTATTTGTCGCAGTTCCAAATGATCGTCAATACATAGGAAGGATGGACCGTTCACTGGAGCACATACTTCTTATCGCCCGTGATCATTTTGTAGTCAAGTGCAACCTCAACTTGGGCAGCACTAACAGATTTTCTTCCTCTACATTACACCAGTTGTTTCACTTGATAAACACTATAATTATTCTATATTTTGATCATAACTACTGTTTTCATACGCTTCGAAGGCAAGTAAACATTGAGTCAAAAGGTTGCACCAGAAGGCCATGAATCCTTTCAGCGCAAGTGCGCCATTTGTAATAGCAAACTTTGTCATCCAAAGCACACAATGCATGTCTCAACTGTTGCTAACCCTAGTATGTTTTATAAGCTCTATATGCCATAAATGCGGCATCAGCAAACAATGGTCACGCAAGTGCATCAAGTCTGCAAATCAGAACACCCACATATGCCCATCCTCAAGGCCCCTAAGGCTCATAGTCTTCAGGGTCAAAGTACTCGGTGTCAAATAACTTGCTATTTGTCTTCCTGATCTTGTCAAACGCCCCGTAGTACATCCTCTGAAGTTCCACATCGCTTTTGATGTGGCCCAGACGCATGACCTCGAACGCTGCGTCGATGATCATGATGATCAGAGCAACCAGCGATCGTGTCAGCCGTGTGCCAAACTCGACGTCATCCCCACCCTCACTACCATCCTCAGGATGGACCCAATACTTGCCAGGTACTGCAATCGCGCACACTTCAAGGAAGAAGCGCTTGCCACACGAGTCCAATGTGCGGACCCCATCCACCACTATCTCCTCTATCCTGTACGTGTCTCCTACACAAATGAATATACATGCACTATGTCAATTCGATATCAGGATATCCTTGTGCATTGTTTGTATTCTTGTGTATTGTTTGTATTCTTGCCATTTGTATGCAAAACTACTACCTCCACATCCTGCACTTTCATGGCATTAATTTTCAACCTGCTCTTATTGCATTATTATGGGTAGCTTTGCTTGTTGCTTGTAACAAGTGTACACCTAATGTACCACATAATTGGATGACAATTTTTATTGACAAATTATGGTTTGTGACAAGGTTGCATTGTTTGATGTGTTTGTGTCTTGTTCCTTGTAGGTGCACGGGCAAGTGAGGAATAACATCCAATGGCACAGAGAAACGACCAATTCATGCTAGTGAACAAGTGGGTTTTTGCTTGTGGTGCCACGCTATTACCTTCTTGCAGCCTTTCACCCTCCTGCGTCAGCAACTTGTAGTTGCTTCCAACAACAAAGATGGGGGGTCTGTGTTCTACAAGCGCCTTCCACACATCTGAGGTAATGCGACCACGTGCTTGGCTCATCAGTTGCTTTTTCCTTGAGTACATTTGTTGCCATATCCTGTGGTCAGCAATTGTCATTTCCCGCTCCACATCTGCCCAGCTGCGTGTTCCATTCTCGTTGTCTGCAAAATCCACCATTTTGGCCATCTGTGGTACAAAAAGACGTATATAAGCAATGCAAGAAATGCTTCAAAAGTGTCAAGTAAGAGCGCCGTGGTAGGGATGAAAATCATGCCCAACATGCTCTGCACTGCCATCACGCACACATCTAGCCATTCTCACACGATGTGTTGTGATCATTTTGTGCAGGTGCAGTGCTGGAAGCAAATCTCACCAGTTCTTTCAAGTTGTTGTCATGTGGGTAGGGCATGGTTCTCAGCAGTGCATCCCGCTCTTCCGCTGTGTGCCTCTGCAGGATGCAACATCTTCAGACTTGGAAAATAACATCAATGCAGGCAAGCTCACGTGAGCTAAAATATGCACAGATATGTCAACCCTATACTCACCGCATATGCTTGTCCATCAAAGGTCGTTTTGGCAGCTTCGGCCAGTGAAGAAGCGATCTGCATAGAATCAATTGAGCTATTGTTCACATCATGGCATGTGATGACAGGGATGCAATCATGTTCATCGTTGCCTCAGCCGATCTCACCGAGTCCAAACGAGCGAGCACATTCGTTGCAAATGTGCTGAACATCCTTCGCGCTAGGGCACGATCGGCCGCTGCTGCTGCAGCATCAGACCGGCTGTTCATCAGCATACCAACAAGTAGCGCCTCTGAGCGGACCATCACGCGCTTGAGGCCTGCAAAGCATGGGCAAGCGTTGGCAATGGTTTTAGTCCCATCAGGTTCGCACATTGGGAGAGCAACAATGCTGGGATGCTTAGATCCCAGATGCAAAACTGTAAGCAAAACGCTGCGATGCCCAAATGTGCAGATGTGCATGGTCACAGTTCTGTAGATCTGCAGACATACAATGCTCAAACAATGCTATAATAACACAGTCCATTATTTGTCACCTTCGTAGGCAGAGTAGTTGTGAAATCATAACCGACGATGCTAACTGGTGCTTATTATCATGCGTGTCATTCAATTTACATTTTTAACGAACATTTTCCGTTTCCGACAGGCATGGCAATATGACTCACCATCCATGTCGCCGTCGTCTTCCACTGTACTCAAGTCCGCACAACCAGCCCCATCAGCACACGAGAATCGAGTCTCGGACTGCATCGGGCAAGCCACGAATTGCGCCATCAACGTCCATCGCTGTAGTCTCATCACCGCCTCCTGACCCGCATCCTGACCCACTGCCTGACCCGCCTCCAGGCCCGGCGGCCTCCCCTGATTGATTCGGCGTATTGCCATCATCAGTGTCGTTGAGGCGAAAATGCTGCAAAAGCTCCTGGCGGCTGTTGACTGACTTCCTTGGCCTGCTCCCGCTTGCACTCCCTCGCCCCAGAATATTTGGGATTCTGACACCGCCATTTCTGGTAGAGTGCAGTCTCGCCAATGCCGCTGCGTTGCCAGACATTGTTGATCACGATAACGTATGTGGATCACCAGGACTGCTTTGGAACTTTGAAAGCGTTGAGCAGTGCGTGCTTTCGCCAGCACTGCTCGCCGTTTTGTACCTGTGTTGGCGGTATCTCTTGAAGTCAAAGAGTCAGGCAAATTGGCGGGAGAAGACGACTTGGCGGGAATGAGCAATCGGCGGCAATGTGAGCCTGAAAACCATGTTCACAATACAAACATGCGTATGCAAACTTGGAATCCCTGAAGTTTCAATCGGGGTGTCCGATTTTGAATGCGTGGTCGATGCAAGTGGCTTCTGCTTGGCAGCTCGCAACGGACGTTTGGCATCAAGTGACGTCATTTCAACTGCAGTTAACGCCGTTCATCGACCCGTGAAATATTACGTGTGATACACAATCCTTTAAATCAAGGAGAGAAGGAAATCTTTAGCTCCATATCTTGCCCCAGAAATGTAGCTTCAAGGATTGATGAACGAATACGAGCTCATTTGATTTATTTCATTTTCTGATATGCCATTGTGGCGGTGCTGCCCACATTCCGTTGGTTCGTTATTCCCACGCTGGGCTCTTTTTGACCTTGTAATTAAATACTTCCTACGTCCGGAATCAAATGAAACAGTTTGTTTGAGAAGTGGCATTTATATCAGACACTTGCCCATTTTCCTTCAAAATTGTAGCAGAGCATTCTCTGTAAGCTCAGTAAATGCCGCCAAATTTTTATGGAGAACGGATAAGTACTGGTAACATGACAGTGCTTTAAACCCTTGTGACTCCAGCCAGGAACTCGAATCTTCTCAAGGCCTCGCCGACCCCCGGGGTCTTTGACGAGGTAGCCTTGTGACTGACGGTGCACAGCGCAAAGTGGATATCTGCAGCCGCCGTCATGGCCGCACGTTGGAGACGTTCCAACCAAACGGAAGAGACCGTGGAACTGAGTTCCGCACAGCTCGATCGTCGATTGCGACCGTGGTTTTGACGGGCCAGCGAAGATTTCAGCTCCGGATCGGAGATGCGGAAATCGGCGAACATCACAATCACGGGGTTTTGAGAACGAGCCGGCCCCATGGGTATGGTCGCTGCAGGCGCTAATATGACCACGAAGAGTTTGGAAGAATCTGATTGTCACCTCGCTGCGTGGCAGTCAACAGATTGCTAGACATGCCCGTGTTGTGCACATGCCGCAAGCGCCGTTTACGCTGCTTTGAAAGCTGCCGCCATGCCAGATTCTTGTGGGCACCATCGGAAAACACAAGAACACTACCATAGAGACACTTGGGGCCTCCGATTGATCATCCACACCTTCCTTCCTCGTGTTTGATGGGGCTGATGCCCGCTTGAGTGGTGGTGCTCCCTATGCTGGGCAAGCCATCAATTGGAGATCGGTGCCAAGCAAAGAGCTTTTGATGCACATAACTATTGTGCAGCTAGTCTGAGAACACAGGAGACCTATTGGCAACGGCCAATCCCAGACATGCTGGTGCGCCACCGTGGACACTGGCGCAGATTGCCCACGAACACCATGGCGATGGGCAGACCTCGCCGCCAGTTCTGCTGATCTTCCTTTGTGAAGGGTGTCGATCTCTGGGCTAGAGCCCAAGCAACGAGGGAACCTTACCCTTCTGATACTGCGACGGCCACCAAAAGGGGTATCACTCGTGCGTGGGGTCTCGCTGGATCCAGGGCGCCGTGTTTGGTTGGCTCAGCGAATGTTCAAATATGAGACCCGAGTCGTGTGGCTTCAAAGTACTACCCCGTGCATGAATCTTACTTGCTGGTAATGAATTTTTGATAGCACTGGCTAAACACAGATTGCGTTCTTTGGTCCAGTTTTTACAGAAAAATATGAAGTCCATGATACAAATGTGGCCAGTCAACAAACTGTTTCATTTAATTCCGGACGGAGGAAGTATGTAATTTTCAGGTCGGTCACCGTGCCAGTAAGGTAGGCACTATTGTAAATAGATACAATTAGCGTTAAACTCACATGAATGGTACCTTGGGGTCTAAGTTTGCCCTCATTCCGATACTGAAGGTACCAAAGCCAGCACATTGCCTTATCAAGGCATATGTGCACAATAGGGAGCCCCGCATTGCACGTTCAGGTCCCTGTGTACGTGATTTCGCACATGCACCTTCTGCGTCCCACCATAAATTCTGCCTAGGACAAGGGGCATTGCGGGGCGACGTGCAAACACGTGTATCCTGGCATATGCCACGGTCCCAGTAGTCAGTGAACGCCTCAAGGAAGGTAAAATGGTACCTGTTGCGACCCAGGATAGAGGGTCAACGGACAGGACATGGCCGCTACCACGAGCAGTCATATCCCGTGGCAGCTATCTCAGGGTTAAATAACCGCATCGTCGCTGGCTGTAAAAGTTGACTCGGAAATTCTGAAGGCAAATGAGCGTGAGGCTCTCCCTGTACTACAAGGGCTTGTAGCTGCAAGCGCTGTCTGATGTGACAATGATGGCTGTACGCGGTGTGGAATCGCAATCCCACTTCCCAAACCACCTCTTGTGCAACCCTTTGTGCACAGCGACGCCCTGCGCTTCTTGCGAAGGATGTACGGCTGCCAGCACGGGAAATCGAGGAAAACAAGCAAATTATTGAAAATCATCACGCAAGACCATTTCCATGCAACAGCCTTGGAAACCGCCAAGACAGCGCATTGTCGGTTTGGCCCCTCGACTATCTCGGCCATGCTTGCTCGGTGGCAGAGACGATGGGCGGCGACTTCGCCAGGCAGCGGATAGCATGCGCAAGGATACGGAGTCTACAGGAAGGTGGGTTTGGCGCTGCGTAAGGGGTCTTCGATAGAGCTGGGGCAAATTGGGCCTGGTGACGCACGCCCCAACTAAGCGGCCGACCACTCCCGGATAGCGCGAATTGGGGTCTCGAACCGCCATGCAAGAGCCCGATGTGAACGTGGGAGGGATATAGCGTTGCTGAGAAAGTGGTCCATGTTGTCTTTCTGTATTGGTTTTGCGTTCTTGGCAGCCGATCACTTGGAACGGAGGAAGTGGTGGCGCGGCCACCCCCGTCTTCTTTGGGCAGATAATCGCTGGATTTCCGAAATCCTGAGAAGCCACAGCGAAAAACCTGCTTTGGATATGGTCGCGTAAGGCTTTGCCGTTTCGCGTTGTCTCGCTATGTTGGCGATTGACGCTGGGCTCTTCCATTGACTTGGCCTGGGTAAAGAAACCTGAATAGCGAGAGCGTGAGGCAAGGAAGTGTGACTGGGACAAGCGATACGTGCAAGCATCGAGTGTGAGTGCGGCCATTAACGGGCAGTCTGCTGTTTTGCAATTCACCTGCACTCTTCCGGCGCGGCCTTGCATCTTGATCAAGTGCGACATCGTGCATCTCAGTAAGGTCAACGCGTCGATACTACCTATGAATGGACCTGAACTGCGCGATGAACAAATTCCCCTAGCTCGAGCTGCGCCAGCTCGCGCCCATGGCCGGCTGATCCCCCCCTTCCCCAATCAACGGTGCTTCAACCTGATTTCTGACAGGACCCAAAGGAACATGTATCAGCTGGTCCCCAACCTGCTTCTCTGTGTCGCCTAAAAAGAACTCTAAGTTACGACATGCCGAAGTGGCCAATACCTTGTCGCGTCAGATTAGAAGAATGGGGCTCAAATGTGGAGCGAACACTGAGAGTTGCTTGACCAGCTAAGAAAGGGAGAAACAATATGCTTGGGAGTGCTGGGGAAGACAAGTTCCCACTTCCATGTTCACAAACCGGCGATGTCCTCTCCCTATTGCACCAGAACCAATGGATGTTAGCTGACACACTCAAGCCTATGTAGCTTTTCTTTGGGTTGAGGGCTTCACAGTTCTCAATAGAGCTGTCACAAGCAACATGAAACTCATTTTCACAGCAGCAGTACTATCCTACAAATACGCTCGTTGCTGGACACTTGCCAACCCTCTAGGACACTCGCAGATAGCGGTTGAGGAAGAATCGGCCTGCACAACAAGCGTCTTCCTGAACTAGAACTATCCTGTCAGTCAGGTCAATGTCTACAATCCCATAGCCACCAACCCCCTCCAGCAAGCTTCCCTGGTACCATTTCAAGTACGTGGATGCCTCATACGGGTTAGGCGCCATTCCGGCACTGTCACACCATCGGACAAAGGCTAACCTCACTTCGTTCCCGTCCATCCCCTTGCAGGCAAAGAACATGCGAGCCTACCCATACCACTCCTCGAGATGTCCATCATCACGGTATCCAATTATAGCAACGTCGGAATAAACGTGATAT